TTCGGTTTGTTAACTACTTTCAGCACACATCTCCCCTACCGAATGATTCCTCCAACCGTCATTGTCTTAGTGATCCCTTCTTTATTCTGGCTGCCTTCTCCCCCAGCTCATGAGACAGGCTTCCAACTATGGGGCAATATTCCTGGCCCTCGTGTCTACTGTTCTTGGGTGTCAGTCTCATGTTATTTTATATTCCAAAAGTGAAGGTGCTCATCTTGCATGCAGGTGATCCCCAGCATCTCAAATGGTCTTCAAGGAACTTCCAAGAGTGACCCCTCAACACAGACCCAGGAGTAAGCTCTGAGCACTGCTGAGCGTGTCCTCTCCATCCTCATCCAAAGGACTGGAAAGAAAAAAAAACAAAGAAAGAAAACAAATAGAAACAACAGGATTTTTTTGGGGTTTGTTTTAGGGGCATACCAGCTGGTGCTCAGGGCTTACTCCTGGCTTTGTGCAGATAGGGTGTTAGGGATCAAACCTGGGCCAGACACATTGTAAGAGTAAGTTTTTTTACCCAGTGTATGATTGCTCCAGCCTCTGCAAAGACATTTTTATTCTTATAAAAAGGCTGTACATTTTGAGACTTACTTGCTTTGCCAGTTAATTGTCTTAAGAAAATGGAATAGGGCCGGAGAAATAGTATGGAGGTAAAGATGGTTGCCTTCCACACGACTGACCCTGGTTCAATCTCTGGTACTGCTATGATATGATCCCGTGAGACCACCAAGAATGACCCCTGAGCACGAAACCAGGAGGAAGCCCTGAGCACTGCCAGGGGTGGTCCCCTACATTTCCCGCAAAAAGGACAAAAAAGAAAATGAAGTAAGGATTAGGGAGATACATCAAGAGGAAGATGCTTTATATGCAGGAATCCTGGTTTGATCTAGGACTGGATGGTCCCTAACTAGCACCAGGAGATAAACCCAGTACTGACCTGGGAGTAGCACCTCAGTTAGAAATCACCTGACTGAGTGAATACAGGAAGTGACAAGCTGTTTTGTAGGAAAAGTGATTTGTCAGCAGTCATCAGCCAGAGTGCATCACTGAGAAATGGCCACCAGATGGCAGCTCTGGTCTTTCTCCACTCTGGCTCTCCACACACCCACCCTCCACCCCAAATCCTTTTCTCTCCCTCTTTCCACTCTCTCACCCACCTACCCAAAGGGGGTTAGGAACTTCCATCTGGGAAGATAGTCCAAAGGGCTGGAACACACCCTGACCACCTGGAATGACCCCTGAGCACGGTCTGAGACCTCTTTTTTTTTCTAACAAGCCTCTAGAACAAAACTCTTTAAGGCTCATTGAAAGTTCAACAGCTTTCACCAAAACCATGTTATGACAAGCACTGCTCCAGACAATGGCTGCCTTAGGAATTGGAGCTATTTAAAGTTTGGGAATTCCACCTAAAAAGTGAATTATGGGGGCCAGAGAAATAATACAGTGAGTAGGGCTCTTGACTTGAATGCAACTGACCTGTTTTCAATCCCTGGAACCTCAGAAGGTCCACCCGATCCATCAAGAGTGATTCCTGAACAAAGAGCCAGAAATAACCTCTGAATACAGCTGGGTGTGACCCCCAAATGAAAACAAAATGTGAAGTATGAGCTCCCTTCTATATGTCCTGTATGTTCTGTTTACAGTTGAGGTGATTTCCACCCCCCTTTCATAAAAAAAGGTAAAGGCCCTCCCGTTGATTGTCGACTTGCTCGAGCGGGCCCAGTAACATCTCCATTGGAGACTTTGTTGTTACTGTGTCTGGCATATCGAATACTTTCGGTAGCTTGCCGGGCTCTCCGAGAGGGGCAGAGGAATCGAACTCGGGTCGGCCATGTTGGCCGCTTGTAAGGCGAACGCCCTACCCGCTGTGCTATCACTCCAGCCCCTATAAGATTGAAATTAATTTCAGTGTTGAGGAGAGAGCTCAAAGGCTGGAGTTTATGCTCTGCTTGCAGGAACTCTAGGTTCAATCCCTCCCACCCCAACCATCGTACCCCTTTATCAGGCAGCACATCTATTTCACCTACTATTTTTTTTTTTTTTTTTGCTTTTTGGGTCACACCCGGCAATGCACAGGGGTTACTCCTGGCTCTGCGCTCAGGAATTACCCCTGGCAGTGCTCAAGGGACCATATGGGATGCTGGGAATCGAACCCGGGTTGGCCGTGTGCAAGGCAAATGCCCTACCCGCTGTGCTACTGTTCCAGCCCCTTACTTTGCTATTTATTGACTTAATACATTTTTTTAAAAAAATTCAGTTTTTGGGGGGCTGGAGAGATAGCACAGCGGGTAAGGCGTTTGCCTTGCACACGGCCGACCCGGGTTCGATTCCCAGCATCCCATATGGTCCCCGGAGCACCGCCAGGAGTGACTCCTTAGTGCAGAGCCAGGAGTAATCCCTGTGCATCGCCAGGTGTGACCCAAAAAGCAAAATAATAATAATAATAATAATAATAAAATAGTGATACCTTAACATTCACTTAAAAAAATTCAGTTTTTGGGCCATAACTAGCTGTGCTCAGAACTTACTCATGGTTTTGTGCTCAGGTATCACCCCTGGTGGTGCTAGGGGACCATATGGGGTGCTGGGAATTGAACCCAGGTTGACTGTATGTAAAGCAAGTACCTTACATGCTGTACCCATCTCTCCAGTTCCTTTCTGATTTGCTTTTTTGAGCCACACCTAGCGGTGCTCAGGGACTATTCCTGGCACACACTCAGGGCTAATGTGGTGCTGGGGAGCAAACCGGAGCTCCTGAATGCAAAGCACGTGCCCAGCTCATTGAGCTATTTCTCTGGCCCCTCAACTATTTAGTGAACTTCTACTATGTGCTGGCCAGTGTCTAGAGTCCCTGGATGCCTCAGGGAACAAAACAAATAATGCTTTTGGCAGATGAGAGACTACATGGACTGATGCATATGTCTTGCATGTACCTAACTTTGGTTCCATCCTTGGCTCCACATGATACCCCCACCCCCCACAAGCACCTCCTGTTTTACCTGTACTACAGTGCCCTCGATAGCACAGCAGTAGGGTGTTTGCCTTGTGCGCAGCCAGCCTGGCTGAGCCAGGTTCGATTCCTCTGCCCCTCTAGGAGAGCCCAGGAAGCTACCGAGAGTATCTCACCCACACGGCAAAGCCTGGCAAGCTACCCATGACATATTCAATATGCCAAACACAGTAACAAGTCTCAAAATGGAGACATTACTGGGCCCGCTCGAGCAAAATCGATGAACAACGGGAGGACAGTGACAGTGACAGTGTCCTCGCTGGAAACACCACGTTCCTGGGCCCTTACATTGAATAGCTGGTCCAGTTGGCTGAGAATCACGGGGCTTGGTCAAAGCCCCCTAAGAAATGCTTGGGAGAATACCACTGCTCCCTGCCGACCAACAAACAGAACCAAGGACCTCTGCCCCTGAAGATCTCTTTTTTTAAAAATGTTACCCACTCAAAATATTTATTTTTACCATAAACATACCAGATTAATATCATTGATGTCCATAATATAATAGATTGCATCTTTCATCAGTTAAAAAAATTCCTCATTTTGTTTGCCCTTTTTCTGGAAATTTAAATAGACTGTATTTTACTTCTTTGTTTTTACTGAGGGAAAAAGATCTCCTGGACAGATGAAAGAACACAATCTTGCATCTGAAACTTCTTCTTTACTAAACTTTCAACTTTTAAAAACTACTTGCTAGGTTACAGAAAGGACAGTTTAAAGAACAGAAGTTCATGTTTTACATGTGGGGATCATAGATTTGATTGCAGCACTACTGGTCCCTCCCTCCCTGCCAAGTACCAGTGGCTATGGCCCCAAAACAAAATACATAAAAACTATTTACTGAGTGGCAAGAACCAAGTTCTAGATAGATAAGACCTCCAGGGATTGGGCAAAAATATTTTTCTTTTTCTCCTCTTCATAGTAAGCAAGGTTATGCTGACCAAAAGCCAATAAATTCTAGGGATTATGTAAAACCAATCCTAATTCTTGATAAACAACTTTTGCAATCCCATCCTCCTTCCCTTTTTTCTCCCCCCACTTCACCCTCCCTTCTTTTTGTCCCTTCTTTGTGAATGGAACTAAAAACTAAAAAGTTCCATTCACAAAGACCCCAGTCAACACACAATTTAGGATGTCTCCTGAAATTGTACTCCTTGATTTACAGATCCAGGACCCCTAATCAATGCTACTGTTTCACTTTAGGCGATTTGTATTTTATCCGGGACACGGCCTAGCCGGAGGGACACAAACAGAAGCAAGCAAATGAAAAAGGACTTTAGGAGCTACCCGTGCTTGTAGAGAAATTGTAGAGCTAGTAAAGCGATAAAGAATCACGTCGTTCACATCTTCAATTTCCAAATGAAACAAGGAATGGAAAAACAGATCAGCAAATAAACTAAACCACCAACCGCCCCTCCAACCCCCCAAAACGTTGAGGCGTTTTATCTGTTGCTTTTTTGGTTTTGCGCGGTTCAGCCGAGATTATGTAATGAGAACAAGCCTTTACTGACACGCTTGCGGCTACCGGGCCGCTTTCATTCATCCGTTTCATCTTCGAGCATCTTCAACCTTTCTACAAAGGAGGAAACAAAATCGCCCCTCTCGATAGACACTCTTTGAGGTCTGAAGACACACTTAGGTTCCTTAGACGCGGTTATCTAAGACTGACAAGCATGTCTCCCCTGACTCCTTGGAGCCAACGTGGGTTAAGGGTGCGAGCGCACTCAAAGGGGGGGGGGGCGTCCAGACTGTGATTCAGCAGAATGGGGAGCCCGGAGCAGCCTGTTAACCCTCAAACTTGCAGTCCGGGAGGACTCGGTGCCTGGCGGAGCCTGGAGCCTCGCGTCTAGGTCAGGGGGTGGAGCCTGAAGCGTATCGGCCAATGAAAAGTCCTGTTGCGGTAGTTTGTCCGCCACCGCGACCCGTAGCAGCCTGGAAAGACCGCCCCTCGTCGGGGAGTGGTCAGACTCACTCACGTGACAGCCGAGGCCGGAACTCGGCAGGCGCCGGGACGCGCAGGGTTTTGACAAAAACAAACGGCGACCGCGCCGTCGGCGGCTCTATGGCCGAGGCGGTGAGACCCCAGCGCCGGACCAAGGGCAAGGGCAGCCGGACCAAAGTCAAGGTGAGGATGTCGCCGGCCGCGCGGAGCCCGGAGCGGGCGCGCACCCCGGCTTCCTGCGCCTCGTTCCCTGCTCTCGGCATCTTCTGTCCCGTGACCCCAGCCCGGTGCCTCCGGTCCCCCCCTCACGCAGCCGGCCCGTATTATTATTATTTTTTCCTTTCTTCTCCCTCTTTGTTTTTTCTTGCGTTCTGGACTCTTTCAGGGTCGCCGGGGCACACTTGAAGGGAACCTTCCCTCCTGTGTCCGGGAAAGGTGTTGGGTTCATCTTGAGGGAGACCTGCGTGTGTGTGGAACCGGGAGGGAGCGGTGGGCAGAGCCCCTCTTGTTTCTTCCAGGCCCGCTCGTGAATTGAAATAAAGGTTGAGAAGGGCAAAGCAAACCCCCACCCCCGCGGAAAGTGGGATAATGAACTTGGGTTACTCTGGTCTCCGTGCGAGAGACCCCAGTGACATTGAGTAACTTGCTAAAATGCTTCCCCCCACCCCTTTATAACGGCAGCGGTCGGGGGGGGGCGGGGAAGCTGACTAAAGGAGTTGGGGGTGGAGCGGGAAGGGGGTCTTTGATAGGCTATTTCCAGGAAAGGGGTAAATGAGGGTGTGGCTGTTATACAGTATTCAGTTGCTGCTCTTTCCATTAATGACAGTTAAAGGGATCTGGTCTTCCAGGTAACGAGTGGAAAAAATAAAGATTTTGTCTTCCTGGTTTAGCGTGGAAGACGCCCCTATGTTTCCTTTACAGTTACTCTTGATCCTTATAGTGGCCAGTGTTATTATCATCCTCTCCCCTCCCCCCCCCCTTTTCTTTTGACTTTTTCTTGGTTTGTGTTTTGGGCCACACCCGGTGATACTTAGGGCTTACTCCTGGCTCTGTGCTCAGGGATCACTCCTGGTAGGACTCTGGGGACCATAGGGGGTGTCCCATTGCTCCAGCCCCTACTTACAACTTTTGACTTGCCACAACTTAATCGTCTGCTGTTGATGGATAACAGTTGATTAGCATACCTTTGTGTGTTAACTGCTTCATATCCTGAATTCTTAAGCTAGAGAAAATGAATTGTGGATGAGAAAAATATTTTTATGGTACTGTACTATATTTATTGATATCGTAGTCTGTGTCATCCGTTTACAAGAAAATCCATGGATGGCTCCTCACAGTTCAGGATCAAATCCTTGTTGTTGGAGGGTCAGTTTGGAAATGTCCCTTAGGAAAGGACAGCCTCTGTCTGGCTTACAGAACCCCTTCCATGAAGTAGAATTCTTATGTTAAGACACATTTGGGGGTGTTCTTCCCTTCACCTGGAAAGTAAGACTGTAGGGCTGGGTCACTCCCAGGGCTCACAGTGCTGCCACTCTTTATTTCTTATTATTCTGATCTTTTATGATGGTACATGAATGTTCAGAAATTAAACCTGTTGGTTTTTATAGTAGAGACAGAATGGATTTTCTGTGTTTCCTTTGTTGTTGTTGGTTTTCGTTTTGGTTTTTAAGCCACATCCGACGATGCTCAGGGCTTATTTCTGGCTCTGCACTCAGGAATCACACCTAGTGATGCTTTGGGGACCATGTGGGGTGACGGGGATGAAACCGGGATCGACCTTTTGCAAGGCAAGAGCCTTACCCACTGTACTGCCTTTCCAGCCCCATCTGCTTTATTTCCTAAGTGTGATTTGGTTATTTTGTTTCTATAATTTTCCTGAAATGCTATTTATTTTATGTGAACAGATTCAGCGCTACCTTAGGATAACTGGACCTAGATCATTTTGGTTTTGACTGAAGCAGAAATGTACATTCAGGAGATAATGCGGTATGACAAGCACAGAAAATGCCATGCCCTTCAAGTGGGTGGTGTTCCAAAGCAGGTGTAGCTTAAAAAGGGATACCAAAACGTGATTTTTTGCTGGGAACAAGGTTGAAATGGGAGGCACAGGTTCAAAGGCACTGTGCTTAATGAGCTGCTTTGACTCTATGTGGCTCTCTTTCATTATGATGCCTTTAAAAAAAAGACTGAGGGAGTGTACCAGGGCAGGGAGGGCACATTCTTTGTGGCAGGAAGTCTTTTGCTACCATTAGGGAGGAGGGGACATTTTCTCCAAGCCTTCTTGCTTTTTCAGGCTAGTTGGGTAATTGTATTAGAGCAGATAGATTAATGGGAGATGAAACCCAATTTAATTCATTTCTCTGTGTAGGGAGCCATGGGGGCGGGGGTGAGAAAGAAAAGGTAAAATGAGGTACATGAGCCATTCTGAGTTGAGGAGTGAAACAGGGTGGGCATGGAGCTTCACAGGAGGGTGATTTATGTGATTAACGGTTGGTTATTGGGTGTTTACCTGGTTTTTTCTAGTAATAACACTCTCACCTACTACTCTTCAGTTCTTGGCCAGTGATTTTCAACTGACTGAAAATCAGCTGAAAAATTTCACTGATACAAAAATGTTGAAAACAGGGTCCAGAGAGATAGTACAGTGGATAGGGTGTTTGCTTTGCAGTCAGCTGACCCTGGTTTGGTCACTGGCTCCACATATTGTTCCTGAGCATCACCAGATTGACCGCTGAGCAAGGAGCCAGGACCAAGACCTGAATACCACTGGGTATGGCAATAACAACAAAGTGTTAGAAACCTCTGTTCTCCATAGTTACATCCCTTGAGACTGCAGTGCCTTGTTGCCTTCAGTTCAAAAGACTGTTGTGCCAGAGTGACTTACTTTGGGGAGAAAAAATCAGAATCTCCTCGCAATTTAATTTCAGTATTTTATTTTTAAGTTTTTTGGTTGCACTTCGTGGTGCTTGGGGGGGAACCATGTGGTGCCTCTCATGTGCAATGCATTTATTCAGCCTGGTGACTATTGCTCTAATTCCCAGAATTCCCAGAATATTTTTATTTTTGGTCTTTTTTTTGGCTATACCCAGCAGTACTCAGGGCAGCACCTGACTCTGCACTCAGGAATCACTTCTGGAGGCCCACGGATCGAACCCAGGTCAGCTGTGTGCAAGGCAAGCACTTTATTTGCTGTCCTATCTTTTTTTTTTTTTTTAATTTTTATTAAAATTAAAGGCCTTTGAACATACCTGACACCATGAGGTACAGTTGTAGACTTACAAATTTTGTGCTTGGGTTTCAATTATACAGTGATCAAATACCCATCCCTCCACCAGTGCCCATTTCCCAGCACCACGGATCCCAGTATCCCTTCCACCCCCCATCCTCCCCATCCCACCCTGCCTCTGTGGCAGGGCATTCCCCTTTGTTCTCTCTCTCCTTTTTGGTGTTGTGGTGTGCAAAAGAGTCAAGCCTGATTTTCAGGGAGAAATGTTGGATGATTTACTTTCCATTGATCACTTTGCATATAAGGAAATGTTGCGCGGCCACTTATGCGGCCGCACAGTTCAGAAAAAATGTCCCGGTACCCGCATGTCAGAGCCATGCTTGTAGAAGCTCATGGTCACCGGGATTCCATCTGGAGAAGCGGGACGGCAGCAACTATCCCATTTGGGACCTCCCGGTGATATCAACTCTGTTTGGGGCCCGGAGCATTCTCTGGGAGCTGTGGGGCCCTCCGGCCGGTTTTCTTCTTTGTTGCTGTGTGCTGTAAGATGGCTCTGGGGGGCCTGTTCTATCTTTCTGAGCCTCCCAGAATTTTTTTTTTTTAATAAGAGAAATAAGTTTGCATTGTGAGGCGGAGAGATAGTGCAGAGGTTAAGAGGTTTGCCTTGTACATAGCCAACCCCAGTTTGATTCCCTGAGTAACACCAGGAGTGATTCCTATGCATGAAATCAAAAGTAAACCTGAGCACCGTTGGATGCAGCCCACCTCTCCCTCCAAAAAGCTTGCATTATATTAGGTTAGCAAAGCGCTACCTAGACAGAGGAAGAAGAAAAGAGCTATTGGTCAGGTACGTTCAAAGGCCTTCAACTTTACTACAGTAGTTATAGCATATGCTACAAGGAGCTGAATCTCTTTTATTTTTTGGGGGAGGTGAATGGGGTGCTTATGGGTCATTCCAGACAGTTCTCACGGGACCTTCTGTGTACTTGGGATCCAGCTGGCACTTTACTGGCTCTACAATCTTTTGGGTTCATAGAGATGAAACTTAATTCCTATATCTCCAGGATTTTTTTCTTTTATTTCAATGAAAGATGAAACTAAGTTCAGAAAAATTAAATGACAAGCTAAAAGTCATTTAGTGAGAGAATGCAAATTAAAGCTCCAGATTTCAGTTCTCAATCCAGTTCTCAATATATAATTTTTTTCTAAGATAAATTGTTATATAGTACTTTACTTCTTTGTTAGTTGTGGGGGTCATACCCAGTGGTCCTGGGGTGCTCAAACATGGAAGACATGTGTTCCACATTTGAGCCACTTCCTTGGCCCTGAATATAATACTTAAAAGAAATGGTCAGGGAGTCCAGAGATGGTGCAGAGGGCTGGAAAGTGTGATTTGTATGAGGGAACCCTTGGATTGATCCCTTGCGCTCATAGTCCCTGCACCCTGGCACCTCCAGGTATAATCCACAAGTTCAGCCAGGAATGTGACTCCATGGAAGAGCACTTGCCTCACATGTGTCAGGTCTGGGACTCCATTTCCCAATGCCACCAAACAGAAATAAAACTTAAAACGACCAGTTAAGAAATTCTGTTATTTTGTTTAGAACAGGGTTTCTAACAAAGTTGTAATTTTCAAACCTATCATGAAAATATCACTTGCTCATTTTATTGGCATATCATCGACTATTTTCCTGCACAAATATAAATACACAGTAATCATTTTTCCTCCCACCTTAACTACTGCAACTTATGAAGAAACCTTCATCCCAGGGGTATTTGTGGCCAAACCAGGAGCCCCCCTTGACACAGGCTTTCTCTCACCCTCCACATCTGATCCACCTCCAACTCTTGCCCTTTGAGGGCTCTAAGTAGTCTTTGGCTTCTGTCTCCTTCCGACCTAAGTACCATCCCCATCCTTAGAGGAAGAGTTCTTGGGGTTCTGCGTAAAGAACTGTTT